ATTGGATATCAAATTGGAGAGGAAGAGTATGGAAGAAGTGAATGTTTTCAGATATTTGGGAATTGACGTGTCAACTCCCAAATATCTGAAGGATGAGGTTAATCATAGACCTGATGAAGGAACAAAGGGGAGTGGTGCGTTGAGGTATATGTGGAGACAAAAAACGTTATCTATGGAGGCAAAGAAGGGAATGTATAGTGGTACCAATACTCTTATATAGGTGTGAAGCTTCGGTTGTAAATGCTGCAGCAAGGAGACAGTGGAGATGTCCTGTCTAAGGGCAATGTGTGGTGTAAATATTATGCAGAAAATTCGGAGTGTGGAAATTAGGAGGTGTGGAGTTAATAAAAGTATTAGTCAGAGGGCTGAAGAGGGGTTGTTGAGGTGGTTTGGTCATTTAGAGAGAATGGATCAAAGTAGAATGACATGGAGAGCGTATAAATCTGTAGGGGAAGGAAGGCGGGGTAGGGGTCGTCCTCGAAAAGGTTGGAGGGAGGGGGTACAGGAGGTTTTGTGGGCAAGGGGCTTGGACTTCCAGCAACCGTGCATGAGCATGTTTGATAGGAGTGAATGGAGACAAATGGTATTTGGGACCTGATGAGCTGTTGGAGTGTGAGTAGGGTAATATTTATTGAAGGGATTCAGGGAAACCAGTTTTCATATAGCCGGACTTGAGTCCTGGGAATGGGAAGTATAATGCCTGCACTCTAAATTAGGGGTTTAGGATATTGGCAGTTTGGAGGCATACGTTGTGTATCTTTATACGTGTATGCTTCTAAACTGTCGTATTCTGAGCACCTCTGCAAAAGCAGTGATTATGTGTGATTGAGGTGAAAGTGTTGAATGATGATGAAAGTATTTTTTTTTTGGGTCACCCTGCTTTGGTGGGAGACAGCCGACTTGTTAAAAAAAAAACTTTTAAAGATAGCATATTAAATTTAATGAATACAAGTATCTTGCTATTATGCCTACGAAACATGACAAATCCACCCGGAAAGATTTCACAATGAAGGGTAGCTTGGGAAACTATGAAGATTGTCGATTCATATATACACTATTGTGCTAATACCCTTTTTTTTCAAGATTAAAGAAAATAAAATAATGCAAATAAAATCTATTTTTTGCTTACCTATTCCATTTGGATACCTGCACAATCTGATGATTCCATTTGGCATTTATTTTTATGAGCTCTTAAATACATTTTGAGTTTTCCACATTTGCAGTAGTGTTCTCGCTTAAAAAAAAAGTTGTCATTACTTATGAAATGACCCTTGTACCACATACTACTAAATATAAGGTTGATGGGAAAACGACTGCAATGTGTATGTTTTTAGAGGAGCAACTAATGTGTCAGTTCATTATTTAGTGATAGCTATAGTAAAATAAAAAGGAGATGGTGAACAAGGAGAATATTGTCTGTGGGTGAGACGAAAGTGAATGAACTAAACGCTGAAACAGCTGGGAGCAAATAAGCACCTATTGGGACAAAAGTGAGTTAAAGTAGGAGGTTGACAAGGGTTGGTTTAAGAATGAAGTACCAGTACTAGTGTGCAGAAGACATTGGTAGTTAAAAGAGGATAGGTTTAGATGAAAAGAGAAATAGTTGTTGGAATAACAAGGTAAAGATGGTGGTAAAGAAGGGAAAAAATGGCATATGACAGGTTTAACAATTTATAAATGATATAGGGAAGGCATCTCCATGGGGAAGTGAAAAAGAATTCTTCCTCTGTAAGCCATGCATGTTGTAAGAGGTGACTACAATGCCAGGAGCATGAGGCTAGTAACCCCTTCTCCTGTATAAATTACTAAATTTAAAAAGAAAAACTTTTGTTTTTCATTTTAGGTCACCCAGTCTCAGTGGGATACAGCCAGTTTGTTGAAAAAAAAAATGGGGAAGGCAGAATATAAGAGAAAATGAGAAGTTAAAAAAATTTTGAGGAAAAAAAAAAAAAAAAAGCCAATGTGCATATAGGTTAAGCTTTATCAGCAAATTTTGCCAAGAGTAAGAATTAGTTTTAAAGAGAGATTATCAAGTTAAAAATGCCTAGGAAAAGCAAATGGACTTGGCAGCTATAAATGAAAGAGAGAACATGTTAGATGGGAAGGCAGAGATACTAAGAAGACAGAGAAAATAATTTGAATAGCTATTAAATGCTGATGATAAAAGGGAGGCAGTGATTTCATGCATTGGATTTGACAAAAGTGCATTAGCAGTGGGTAGAATGAATGGAAAAAAGCAACTTGAATAGACAGGATTACGACAGATATTAAAAGGTGTACCTAGAGACTGGCAGAGTGCATAGTTCCTTTGTTTAAAAGGAAATACAGGACAAGAGAAAGTGTAGGAATTATAAGGTAATAAGCCAGTTAAATACACTGGATAAATTATATGGCAGAATTATTATGAAGAGAGTTAGGAGTAAGACAGAAAGTAGGAGTGCAGAAGAACAAGGATTTAGGAAGGGTAGAGGATGTGTAGAACAAGTGATTAGATTGAAGCATTATTTTTTATTAACACATCGGCCATTTCCCACCAAGGTAGTGTGGCCCAAAAAAGAAAAATTATCACCATCATTCACTCCATCACTGTCTTACCAGAGGCATGCCTACACAACAGTTATAAAAATGCAACATTAACACCCCTCCTTCAGAGTGTAGGCACTGTACTTCCCATCTCCAGGAATCAAAACCGGCCTGCCAGAGATTAAAGCATATAAGTGAAAAAATACTAAGTTAAGGGTAAAGAACCAATTGTCACATTTATGGATTTAAAATTTACGATAGAGTGAATAAGGAAGAAATGTGGCAGATGATTTAAATATATAAAATTGGTACAACATTGTGGGATACGGCTGGTGCGTTGAAAGAAGAGAGGTACAACATTACTGAAAGCAGTAGAGGGCTTTTATATGAAGTGAGGTCCAGGTAAGGGTATGCAAACAAGAAGGGGACTATTTTCTAGTAAAAGTAGGGATGCATTGTTACCATGACTGTTTAACATACCTATAAATGGGGTTGTAAAAGAAGTGAATGTTAGGGTGTTGGGGAGACGTGTGGGATTCAAAGATAATGAATCTAAAACAAAGTGGGAGTTGCTATTTGTTGATGACAGGTCTTTTGACAGATTCTGAAGAGAACCTGCACAGTTGGTGAATGAAAGTGTGGAGGCAAAACTAAGTGGAAATGTATGAGATGGTACTTGATGGAGTGTAAAAAAAAGTGATGTCGTGTTACTGTGATGGTTGTGTTCCAAGCAGATCTTTTCTTGGTTAATTTAGTCAACAATTCATATTTGGGAGTGGACGTGTCAGCGGATGGGTCTATGAAAGATGAGGTGAATCATAGAATTGATGAGGGAAAAAGAGTGAGTGGTGCACTTAGGAGTCTGTGGAGACAAAGAACTTTGTCCTTAGAGGCAAAGAGGGGAATGTATGAGAGTATAGTTTTACCAACGCTCTTATATGGGTGTGAAGCGTGGGTGATGAATGTTGCAGCGAGGAGAAGGCTGGAGGCAGTGGAGATGTCGTGTCTGAGGGCAATGTGTGGTGTGAATATAATGCAGAGAATTCGTAGTTTGGAAGTTAGGAGGAGGTGTGGGATTATCAAAACTGTTGTCCAGAGGGCTGAGGAAGGGTTGTTGAGGTGGTTCGGACATGTAGAGAGAATGGAGCGAAACAGAATGACTTCAAGAGTGTATCAGTCTGTAGTGGAAGGAAGGCGGGGTAGGGGTCGGCCTAGGAAGGGTTGGCGGGAGGGGGTAAAGGAGGTTTTGTGTGCGAGGGGCTTGGACTTCCAGCAGGCATGCGTGAGCGTGTTTGATAGGAGTGAATGGAGACAAATGGTTTTTAATACTTGACGTGCTGTTGGAGTGTGAGCAAAGTAACATTTATGAAGGGATTCAGGGAAACCGGCAGGCCGGACTTGAGTCCTGGAGATGGGAAGTACAGTGCCTGCACTCTGAAGGAGGGGTGTTAATGTTGCAGTTTAAAAACTGTAGTGTAAAGCACCCTTCTGGCAAGACAGTGATGAAGTGAATGATGGTGAAAGTTTTTCTTTTTCGGGCCACCCTGCCTTGGTGGGAATCGGCCAGTGTGATAATAATAAAAAAAATAAAAAAATTCATATTAGTTAATTAATCAGTAATTCTTAATAGTTAATTTAGTTTCTTTTAAAAAAAAATTAAATAAAATGTCACAGAAGGAAGACATTATTAAATATTCTTTACAAGCACTGAGGATATGCAGCCTGAATGCTTAATACCACTAGACAATATTTTTTAACAATATAGTAGTTTGTAAATGTTATATGCATAATTTTAAGATTGAAATGCAATCCCTCACATTATGAGAGAAAAAGTATCTTTTATTTAAGCATGATCTTCTTGACTTTCAATAAAAACAAACAAAAGAGAAAGGAAGATTCTTGGTCCATTCTTATTGCCAAATTCACTGTTCTTATTTAATAAAATAAGATGGCATATGTAAGTAATTCTTTACTGTCCCATCAATGTAAGGGCAGGCTGCTGCTCCACTATGTTGCCTCTAACACACACTCACACGAATTAAACTGTTAATAATTTTTTTTTGGAAAATAGTGTACTGTTGCAGATCATGAGAGAATAAAAGGACACAATACTGTGACTGGAACAATATACAAATACGTAACCCACACGTAGGAGAATAAAACTTACAATGACATTTTGGTCCAACCATTAACTAGTTAACGATCCAAATCGAACCAAAATGTTATTATCAGTTTCATTCTGCTTCTATGTGAAGGTTATTTGTGCACGAGGTGCTTATAAAGTAAATATAACAACAGTTAAATAAACCTTATTGCAAAGGCAATTATTTCACATTTCAAAATAGTTACTAAAATAATCAGAACTTTTGATGTTGACAGAAATGTTTTGGTGACCAACATGGCCCCAAAAAAACAAGTACTAGTGTGTACTACATGACGAAGAACAATAACATAATACGTATTAGAGATTATCTTACCAGCAAATGGCAAGTGACAGGCAATAAACCCTGGTGGAGTTATCTGACTGTTTTTATCATCTAGCTCCTCTTGCTGGGGTATCAATGCTGCATATGACACCGAGGAACCTTGACGTGCAATCAGCCGCACAATTGCTGCCATTTTTCGTGCTAAACAGCGATCTAACAGAGCTGCAAACATTTTGTTGCTACCTGTGCAAGAAATTTTTAACTTTACATAACAGAATAAAATATAATCAACAATCCTCTCTCATTTCTAACTCTTTTTAAATACAGAACAACTGAATTTAGATTATGTAGGAGGCAAAATAAGAAATTAAAAAAAATGACATAATAAAATTTCCAACGTCATGAACAATAAATGGGTCAAATCACTGAAGATGTTTTTTTTTTTTGTGGGGAGAGATTGTGAGAAACAATTTCATAGCTAGTTTCATAAAAAAGTATATCATTAAATGTTCTAAAAATTATTATTTTTCAACCTTACTAGAGTACTAGCTGAAGAATTTTTACCGTCTTCACCATTTTTAAATGCTAGGAATTTTCATATTAGTATTATAATCTGGTGCCTAAAGCAGACCTCATCAAGGAAGACAATTATTTGGAATCCTTTATTGATGATAATTTGCCAATGAAGTGAGCTTTATCAAGTTGCAGAGAGATGCAACTTGATAAGAGCCCACTGTGCACACAAAATGCCTTCAATAAAAGATTCTGCATAACTGCACTTGTCTCTCTTTACCACTGTGTTGGTACTGTATTTCACATTATTTATCCACACTTTCTGCAGCTGATGTCCCATTTTCATGCCTCTTGCTCTTCTGTATTCTTAATCATAATCACAGCATAATACAATACTGAAAATGGAAAAACAGCTAAGACATGCATCTAGCTTATCCTTGGGTCAAGCAGAGGTGTGTAGGCTGTTCCAGTGACCTTTTATATCCAGTGATAATAACAAGAGAGAAATGTTACTTGAATGAATGATAGTTTTTAATGTTAACTGATGACATTAAAAGTGAGAGAAATCTTTGCTGTGCTAGTTTTCAATTTTAGTGATGGCAGATAAAAGATTATAATAATTTAAAATGGCTGTGGCTTTCCTGAGCAACTGAACACTGTCCAAATCACTTCAAGAAAATTTATCATAAAAATTAAACAACAACTTAAAAAATTAACAATTCTTGAGTTTACCTTTAACTGATTTTTCATCAGGGTAAATGAAGTTGGCAGGTTTGACATGATAATATGGTTTGAGACTGCTGATGGGTTTGAACCCCAAGAGCTTCATTCCTGGATCGTAAACCTTGTTAATGCTACGTGCCTCATCCTGTGATAGAAGAACAATGAATAACAGAAGGCTATGCTTCAAACAGAGAATGTTTGCCACCAGGACATCATATTATCTACTGGTAACTGCAGTATTCTTGGATCATATATAACAAGTAGCCACCCCTTGATTTAGACAAACATTTGGAAATGGTAATAAACATTGCCTCACTAAGTGTGCCACAGAGAGACATGCTTTACCCAAGCTATCATCTTGCAGGCAGCTCAGACTTTAAATTCTTATTAATTTTATAAAAGATAGCTATTAAAATCTTCAAGGCTACTCTAACTTAAGCAATTAAAAACTGTTCAAATCTGAAAATAGCTACAAATGAATACTTAAATCTCAAGTGTAAATTTAGCATTTGTTGGTGGAAACACCATGTAACATACAGAATAAGCACAAGTTTTGGCGTTTCTTTTAATGCTTTGCATCATATCGGCTTTTCAATTTTTTTTAACTCTCTTGAATGTTTTAGAATTAGAATACTGTATTATTATTTTAATTATTATTAGTTTAATACTGGCTGTCTCCCACTGAGGCAGGGTGACTCAAAAAAGAAAAAAGAAAAGTTTTTCTTTTTACATTTAACAATTTGTACAGGAGAAAGGGTTACTAGCAGCTTGCTCCAGGCATTTTAGTAGCCTCTTATGACATACGTGGCTTAGAGAAGAAGGATTTTCTCCACTTCCCCATGATTATTATTATTATTAAAGTTCAACCTGAGTACAGTAAAGATTTGTTCTGGTGCACTGTTTCTCTTCTGTTAGAAATTCTTGCCAAAGATCCTCTAAAACACATCAGTAATTTATAGATTTCTCAAAGTATATATGGATAAAACTGTCCATTTCTAATATGTTTTAAGCTTAAAAAAGCTGGTTTAGCATGTTATACAGGAAGGCCCTGCATTTTGTCGTCCCCCTTTCTGGCTGTTTTCAACTGAGCCACTGATCATTATGTTCTGTGTTTTTTCTGTTTTTCTGCCATTTTTGCATAACAGCTGCATCAGGGAAAAGTGACCATTGTCATATTTTAAGATATGTATTGTATGTACTGTATATTCATTTTTTTTTTTTTTAGGCCCTAGCTGTATTGAGCACTTAATATTTGACAGTGTAAAAATGTTATCAGGCATTTTTCATGCATCGGATAGTGAAATAACCCATATTTTCCACTCACTAGCTATTTTCGCTCATCATCTGGGATCGGGAACTTAACCACCAAAAAAAATGGGGCCCCCCTGTATACATTTTTGCACATTTCACTAAAAAGATACCTATGGAGATGGAGAACAAAATGCTTCACCCACTGGTGAAAGACTTCATTAAAATTAATGTAACTCTCAGAAGTGATACTGACAACATTTCTGATTGTAAAATTAAAGCTTTTTTTTTTTTATACATAAAAGTGAAATCGTACTTCTTTATTTCTCCTCCATCCTGCTAAGTTACAAATATTAGTGTCATTAATGGGCTTACCAGTGTAAACTTGATGCTCTTCCCACCATACACCTGGTATTTCACGTAGTCTGAGGGCATCAACAACTCTCCAGTATCCTGAGAATTTGGAAATGTTTTAAATGTCATGGTATTATGCAATTCTATGAAGTTAATTATGTGAAGAAAAGTTCAAACATCTTATTCCTTGGTTTTCCCAATCTGTCTTACATAAAATTAATCACATTTTATTATGATAATGTTATACAGTACCACCAAAATTAGAAATAAGATACATGTGCAACATCTGGGGGCCTTTACCTGGAAACATATTGCCAAACAGTAGCTTTTTGACTTCAGTACAGAGATGATATGCAAAAATAGAAGATGAGGTAACCCATCCCTCAGCATTGCAGAACTATACACAAATGACAGAGGAAGATGAGGTAATCAGTCCCTCAGCCTAGAAGCTAGTGTGTAGTACCTTAAGTCTTGACATTTTCTTTAAAAAAAAAAAAAAAAACTTGTAGAAAACTACCAACACTCTCTAGGGAATCCCTGATGAAGTTTTTATTTTATTACATTTAGATAGTTACTCACAAACTTGTAAAAACATGACTAAACAAATCACAAAACGGGCGAGTGCTTGAACCCATGGCAAGCAAGTCCTAATACTGTACTTGCTTGCCAGTGTGTCATCCACTAAACCATATAAGCCTAATAAGATTCATTCAACTAAGTATATTTCTATACACCTTAGGTAGGTAGCATGGGCCCCAATGTGACTAGAAGTCAGCCAGAAGTGTGCTGATATCACACTCATTTTACCTCCCCCCCCCTTTCCCCTCCACTGACTGCCACATCCCCATCCCTCCTTTAGAGTGCAGGGCACTGCCCTTTCCATCTTCAGGACTTAACCCAGCTAACCACTTTCCCTGAATCCCTTTAAAAATGTTACCTTGCTCACACTATATTATCCTTATTTCAACATCTATGAAGTCTGGGTTGTAAATGTATAGAGTTCTCAACAACAGAGGGCACCAAACAAATGAAAATCAAATATAAATGCCAAATATATCTTTTGCAACCTACCTATTCAGCTTTTGTCCAGCATTCATAATCCAATATGTTTTTTTTTTTTCCCCAACAGGTTGGCCATCTCCCACCAAGGCAGCATGACCCAAAAAAGAAAGAAACACTTTCACTATCTTTCACACATAATCGCTGTCTTTGCAGAGACTCCCACATACGACAGTTTAGACGTCACTCCAAACAGCCAATATCTTGTCTCCATTATATTTTTACCCTTTATTTATTTTTATGTATTTACTGCCCCTTGATACTGCTGTTTTAATAATCAGTTTTAATGCTTGCAATGATCATTGCATTTATAATCTTATCTTCAGACAACTCAGTTATGATATATTAAAATAATCTAACTATTATGTCAAGTAATTCTAAAGTCCTGGTCTTAAGGTTACTCAAATGCTTTAGCATAGCTATGGGCTTTTCCATGTATTACACAGTCACTTTTGTGCGGAAGAGTGTTCTCTTCCACACAACAAAGATAGATGTGGGAGAATCAACATGTCCCTTCCCTGCTCTGCACTGAGCAAATATAACACAAGAGAAACAAAACTTTCACATCCTGACACATTCATCCAAAAGCAAAGCTACAAACCACAGTATGGGTGGGATTAGAACTCATGGCAAGTAAGTGATAAAACTCCAGACCAGTGTGTAGTAAGTCACTGAGCCAGTTGGCTACAATAAGATTCATCCAACTAGGTATATTTATACACCACAGGAAAGTTAGCATGGGCCCCACCATGACCTAGTTGGATGAATCTTATTGTAGCCAGCTGGCCCAGTGGCTTACGCACTGGCCTGGGGTTTTATGACTCACTTGCCATGGGTTCTAACCCCATCCATACTGTGGTTTGTTTGCAATCATGTTATTTCAATTTTGTGAGGCAGGAAAGCTACCTTTTACAGTCAAGAATTACAAGTTACAAAGATGTCATGGGATGTTCTGGCTAGAGAAACAAATGCCAAGAAAAGCAGGAAGGCCCTAGTTGAGATGCCTAAGTAATGTTCCTATATACTTGCTGCTACATACAGTACTGCCCTTTGTTATACAAGTTTTTTTAATTATGACTTAGGACATTCAGAGGGTCTCTTGAATTGTGTATTTGCTTAGCTTGACTATTTGCAGCAAAAGTAATGTACTCAAGGAATATAGCAAACCTGTAAATGTCACTCAGCACTACATGGCAGAGGAGAAAGAGACTAAAGGAAAAGAGGTGGGGGATACTGAGTAAAAAGAAAAGAAAATGATTAGGGTCACAGTTGATTTAGTATATCAGTGCAAGTTAATAACACATAGGAGTGAAGCAGCAGGAAAGTTGGAGCCATCAAAGAGATAAGGCAAATAAAATACAGTGGACTGTTATATTACACGGTAGTTACATTCCTGAAAATGTTGTGTTAGGTAAATCCGTGTTAGATAAACTAAAGAACTTATGGGAAAAATAGGGTTATGTTCCTGGGAGTCTGAAAAAACCAAACAACTTTCTTTTTAGGCCACCAGATCTTACAAAAAATAAAAGTGAATATGTAACTGCTAGGTAGTAGGTTGGTAAACAGCAACCGCCCAGGGAGGTACTATCATCCTGCCAAGTGAGTGTACAACGAAAACCTGTAATTGTTTTACATGATGGTAGGATTGCTGGTGTCATTTGTCTGTCTCATAAACATGCAAGATTTCAGGTATGTCTTGCTACTTTTACTTGCACTTAGGTCACACTACACATACATGTACAGTGGACCCCCGCATAACGATTACCTCCGAATGTGACCAATTATGTAAGTGCGTTTGTACGTGTATGTTTGGGGGTCTGAAATGGACTAATCTACTTCACAATATTTCTTATGGGAACAAATTCGGTCAGTACTGGCACCTGAACATACTTCTGGAGTGAAAAAATATCGTTAACTGGGGGTCCACTGTACAAGCATATATATACAAACCCCTCTGGGTTTTCTTCTATTTTCTTTCTAGTTCTTGTTTATTTCCTCTTATCTCCATGGGAAAGTGGAACAGAATTCTTCCTCCATAAGCCATGTGTGTTGTAAGAGGTGACTAAAATGCCGTGAGCAAGGGGCTAGTAACCCCTTCTCCCGTATAAATTACTAAATTTAAAAAGAGAAACTTTCGTTTTTCTTTTTGGGCCTGGTGGTTAACGCTCTCGCTTCACACGGTGAGGGCCTGGGTTCGATTCCCAGCCAGAGTAGAAACATTGGACGTGTTTCTTTCCACCTGTTGTCTATGTTCCCCATCAGTAAAATGGGTACCTGGGTGTTAGTCGACTGGTGTGGGTCGCATCCTGGGACACTGACCTAAGGAGGCCTGGTCACAGACCGGGCCGCGGGGGCATTGACCCCCGGAACTCTCTCCAGATAAACTCCAGATAAACCCTGCCTTGGTGGGATACAGCCGGTGTGTTGAAAGAAAAGAAAGATGTAACTGCTGTTCATTGTCATGATTTATTATGCTGTTTTCACTGATTAAGACTACAAATGCAACAGAAATACCAGTACAGTGGACCCTCGGGTAAAGGCATCATCGGTTAGTGCCAAAATCGGATAACGGCTCGCTTTGGCATCAAAATATTGGCTCGGCAAACGCCAAATAACTCAGTTAAGGGTTTTCGTCCTGAAGGTGTCTGCGCGGCCTGAGCGGCCCAGCCACTCCAAACTCTGTGTACAGCCAGTGTGCCATTATTTACAAGCCGTGCGAACGATTCACGCGTACATGCGATACATTTTGATTATTCCATGATGCGTCGCAAAAACCAATCCCAGAAAATTTTTCCATTTT